CACCCCCCTACGAGTATACATAGAACCGAACGTCCACGCGTGAACACTGAAAACGGAAAGGGGAGAAGAAGAGTAAAAGGGGTAAATAGAGACAGAACAGGAGGACAGAAAGGTATTTGGCACAATAGTGAACGTGTGCACTGAATCCTGATGGGGATTGGCTATACTTATAGGGGGAGGGAAGGACGGGGAGGAGAGGTATTTTAACGTGCTACTGTGACAAGTGACGGGCGAGACGGACGAGACGGCGTGGGAGTCGTGAGGTATAGTAAGTAAGTAAATAGGAGGCGGGAAAGAAAATCATCATGGACGGATGGCATGGCAGGCAGGCGGATGAAACAAAAGACAAAGATCAATCAAATAGAGATGTCCTTTAATGGATGGATGGATGAGCGTGATGGAATGAATGCAGTCCGTGGATGGGATGGATGGATGGATGGATAAAGGGGAGGGAAGGCAGGACATCATCTATTTCGATTTAGCCAAATCCCGTGCGGCCTTGATGAGCGGCGTCAACGTGCGCAGCGGTTCGGACATCTTGAAGAATGGGTGCTGCAGAAAATTAAAAACAAAAATTCATCAGATATAATCCATTAACGCAGAGAGAGATGATAACCCACCTGCAAAACCAGCTCCGCATCCGGCCTCTTCTCCGCATCCACCTCCAAGCACTGCGCCAAATAGTCCCTAAACGTGGGCGACAACGCTTCGGGGTTCGCGATCGTCGGCGTCCCGTTCGTCGCGATCAGGTACAGCGCCTTGAGCGGGTTTTGGTTCAGGTAGGGCGGCTCGCCTTCGACCATTTCTGCGAAAATCACATAACGTTAGCATCGTTATCATAATGGGTGCAAGGAAGGGGACATACCAATAGCCATAATGCCGAGCGACCAAATATCGACCTTGGGGCCGTACTCCTTGCGCGTGACGACCTCCGGAGCCATCCAATACGGCGTCCCGACCATGGTGGTGCGCTTCGCCTGCGAATCCGAGATCTGCGCGCAGAACCCAAAGTCGGCTGTAAATAAAAGTTAGCACCATGTCACCAGAATAATGATAATAAAAGGGCAAGGAAAGAAGTCACTCACTAAGCTTAACATCCCCCTGCAAACTCAACAGCACATTATCACTCTTAATATCCCTATGAATCACCCCATGCTGGTGCAGATGCTGCAAGCCCTGCGCCGTCTCGCGACTCACTGCCGCGATCTGGCCCTCCGTCATCAGATTCGCCGTAACGACGTCCGTGAGGGAGCCGCCCTCCATGTACTCCATGACGACCCACAAGTCGTTCTTATAGAGGAAGGAGTCGATGTAGTTGACGATGTTCGGGTGCCGCGAGGAGCGCATAACGAGGATCTCGTTGATGATGAGGTCCTTTTTTGGCTGTTTTTCGAGGTCCATCTGTTTAATTGCGACGGAGAGGTTGGTCCCGACTTGGTACGCTGTGTAGACGCCGCCGGAGGCACTATAAATCAATAAAATAACATTAGTGTTAAATTATGTGGAGTGTTGAGGGGATGGGGAACGCACCCTTGCCCAATCTTCACGAGACTGCGATATAGCTTCGTCGGATCCGCATCCGTACAGATCGCTTTCAAGCGCACAATAATATCCCCATCGTTCGCATTCGACTTCTTCTCCCTCCTTCTCGGCGTCGCTTGGCCAGACTGCTTGGCCAGACTCGCCACAGCCGGACTTGGCGGCGGTGGCACAGGCTTCTCCTTCTCCCTCGGCACAGGGGCAGCTGCTTGTTGCGGGATACTCGGCTGCGGCTTGACCAGTTCGTCGGTCGAGCTGTGGGTGGACGGGATGGGCGACTTTGCGGGTCCTTTGGTGGTCTGCGAGCGCGCGAGGGAGGGGTCGGATTTGGTGGAGGCGGCTTTGCCGGGGGAGGGGCCGATGCGCTGGGAGGCGGAGCGGTCGAGCGCGGGGGAGAGCGCGGTCGGTGCGGACGGGGCGGGGCGGTAGGGCTGTGGTTGGTTCGGAGGAGGAAGGGACTGCTTCTTTAATGGCGGTGGCGGGGGCGAGCGCTGGATAGAAAGGAAATGAAGTTAATATGCGAATTCAACCAGAACGCAAAGCCGATAACTTACGGGATTCTGGAAGGAGCTGGGAGACGGGGTCGCGATGGGAGGAACGACGGTGCCCGCTGCGTGGCCCATCTTGTCCCAGACGTCGCCGCCGCCGGCCCCTTCTTGGTAGAACTTGACGATCTCCATAACGGCCTGCGGGTTCTTCTCCTGCTCGGAGCGCGAGATGCCGGACTCCTGAAGGAGCTGCTGCCACTCCTTCGGGAGGCCCGTGAACTCGCCCGTGGACGAGTTGAACCCGACGTGCGTGAGATGAACGGGGTCATACGGCGTGCTGATCTCGGGACGCTTCGCGGAGTGCAGGAACTCCGGGAGGATCCCCAGGAAGCCTTTTTTGGTCTTGGAGGTCGTGCCTGCGCGGGAGCGCGTGCCGTTGCCGTTGCCTGCGGGGGGTGGCGTCGCGGCGGGTGCGTCAGGCTGGACGAGGTCAAAGGTGTGGAAGGACGAGTCCTCGACAGGGGAGAAGGGCTGTGGCGGGACCGAGTACTCGAGGTCGGTGAGGGTGGCGGTATTTGCGCGGGAGGGCCGGGGTGGCGGGCCTAGGTTGTACGCCGTGGACGGGGGTGGGTTCGCTGCAAAGGGGTCGTGTTGAGCAGGCTGGCTCCTGCTGCGGGGACGGGACTTGCCCAGGGTCGAGTTGCGCTGGGTGGTGGGCGTCCTGGAGCGGGGGCTCACGGGCGGAGGGGGTGGCGCCGCACGCCCTGGGACGGGCTCCTGATACTCGGGCATCCAGCTCGCCGCAGCGGCGGCATGGGTATTGGCGTCGTTGAGGAGGTCGGCGTACTCCTGAATGCTTTCTCGTGTTGGGTGGTGGTATTCTACGGTGACTGTGGCCTTGGACTGGCGACGGGAGGTAGATACAGAGGTCGGGGTGGTTGGGCTGGTGAGGGTAGCGCCTACGTACTGGTGGGGATGGCGAATAGAGCGACGGGTGGAGGACGCCATCGTGCTCGACTTGGAGGACGGTGACAAGGAGACAACCTGATTTAGCGGAGCTGGCGGAGTTTTGTCCGGATGCTCCCGCCTTCTCTGATTAGTCAGCACAAGCAACATAAAGCAATCACGAATCAGCAATCAATCGATCGAACAAACTATGCTACATTTTATATTTGCACCCCAACGCACGACTTTCATGCATGTATGTATCCAGCGCTCCGTCCACAAAGCCCAAACCATGCGACCCTTCCCCCCAACTGCAAACTGTCCTACAACCATCAAGACGTCGAGCTGACGTCGCCGGCTACCTGTGTCCTCGGCCTTCGTGAGAGCAAGGGCCTCGTTCTTTTCTTGGACCTCTAGGTCGGGGCGGTGGCCCGGACGCCTGCCTAGACGAAACAGTCTCGACGAAAAGCCCCAAAGAAGAGAAAATCCAAACCTAAGTCCCCGTGCCCACACATCACATGCGGCCGCCTTGAGGTCCCAGCGTGCAGCAGCAACCTTAACACCTTGAGCATCTCGTGAGAACCACCCGAAATGAGACAATTTGCGCTTCCGTGTGAGCATCAGTGGCAGAGCGTCCCGAATACAGTGGAATGCACATAGTGCCAGATGAGTATGGAAACGCAGCGCAATGTTAAGCGTTTATTGCTTCGTTATGAGATTATGGAAGCTGGAAGCTGGATAATCGTTGAAAATCACAATGCCAGCCGAAATATCAACCTCAGGAATTCCGGATTTGCAGCTTAAAGCCGCGGACGCATACAAGAAATTACGGAAAGTCTGATGTGGAACAGAACAGGGGTAGAATCGGCTTGGAATGTGAACGTCGAATGGCTATGTCGCCTCGTGGTTCAAGCATAACGATACGAAGCAGAGTCGCCAGTCAAGTTCAAGAATCGAGGTATAGATTCAACTGCAGAGGTCACCAGACGAGATGCGGTGAGAGTAACTGCGAGTCCGACGTGTATTCAAATGTTCGGAATATATACACATAGCCATGCCCTGAAAAAATCAAGGAAAAAATCAATCATAAAAGAGTGAGAAACCTCATCTCCATATCCACTTCCTTACGTATACTTCTCTTTTTTACCTGCGGTAAGAGTGCGTAAAGAACCAGCCCGACGCGTCTCAAGTATTCGGAATGCGCATAGTAAAAATCAGGGAAAGCACCTATCACAAAAATGAGTGAGAAACCACAAACCCCATATATACCCAACTCTCTTACCGTCCCTTCCTTCCTTTTCTCCCAACCGCACCAACCAATCCTGCACCGGCATCTACGATATCCTTCCCCCCGGCATATAGGTGTTTTGATGGGGGCCCTATCAAAACACCCATATGTGCCGCAGAAAATACCCATACGTAATGCAGTCTCGCAGAAATATACGCCGTTCAGTTAGGAACCAGGGAAATTTTTCGCGAATATCGCGCAGGGACGTCTGATGGAAAATTTACGGCCGAACGAGCAGAGAAAGGAGGAAAGGGCTCATTGGGCGTCTGGGGCGCGTTGTCACTGTCACACGTATACCATGCGAAGCGGCTGATCTTTTTTTTTCTTTTTAATTATAGGGAAGAGGATATTTTGGAGTTATTGCTGATATGCGGGATTGTGGAGCGAGGCTTGGCAGCGAAGTACCAAGTAAAGGCTATGCTAAACTCTTTCTTGAGTTGAGTGAGACTGTTTTTCCTTATGCTTGGCTTGTTTGTCTTTTACCCCACAGGAAGGCTAAAGATAACATCTTCTAAGCTCTAGCACACAATCACGAACGTATTCATAGTCAACATCATGATCAGTGGGTGGACTTGAATAATAAACAGCAGGCGACGAGAAAATGTTTGCTCAGGAATCCTGTGTGAGGCTTCAGCAAAAATATCCCGCCCCGACCCGAAACACTCTGACTTTCCCCTCACATAAGGCCGAAACAGTTTCAAAACCAAAACATCCCAGCACCAAAACAAATCCAAAAAGATGGGCCTGACCGGGAATTGAACCCGGGACCACTCCCAATCGTGGTTACATAGGTAACCGGGAAAACCCGAAGGGAGTATCATACTACTAGACCATCAAGCCTTGTTGAATGGTCGGACTTCACGCTATCTGACGGATGTCTACAACCCGTAGCCTAATTACTTTGACGCTGACACTGACGTCGGCCGCTCGGGTCCGTGTAAACGTAATTTGTTATTTCTGTCCATGTCTAAAAATGTCAAACATATCGCTAATATCGCTAGCAGCCGACCTAGGTATAAATGTCAAAATATATCACAACGATATTAAGCACCCGTTCGTCACGGCCTGCGTCCTTGCCAACCATTCCCACTGTCAGTTTGCATGACCGCATCGCAGGCACGTTGGCCCTTTGACAATTGGATCGCATCTAATTATGTCCGACGACGGGATGAACTGCAAAGATGGATATGGCTATGTCAGGGCGACTCGGACTCAATTGATGGATTGCAGATTCTTCGGCATCGGCTCGTCATGCCACATCGTGCGTCACAGCTCATCACTCGGAAGAGCCTGGCGTGATATCTGGCTGCCGGTTTCGGCTCATTATGCAGACTCGAATCTCAATATAAATGCCATGTTCGTTATTCTAAGATTCTGAGGCATACCCGTCTTCAATCTCAGCTGGGTGATCTTGGCCCTTGGGAGCGGTCGTGCCTCTACAGCTGGTTCGTTTTGGCTGCGTTCGACTGCGAATTTCGAAGATAGAAGTTGATAATGATGTTATTAAGACCTTTGAAATTTCTCAGATTTGGCATCTAGGATCTCAAAGTTCCGATAGAATATCATGATGTCTGTTCCCTGTCCGACTTGGTGCCACGTTGAGACCTGAGATATTTGAGTGGCACAGCCTAATCTGAATAATCAGAGCGTCGAGAAATCCATAAAAGCAGATACTTAAATATGGAGTGAAGGAGTTGGCTATAACCCGAAATAATAAATTAAAGCAGACCAAAACGGACATACCGGATGACTTACGGAGATTGACCCTCTGAAGGCACATAAGATATTAATACGGAGTAATACCAATTGTGGACCAACTTTTCATCCTGTCTTTCGAGCTGATTGAGCATTCGATTTCGACATCTCTAGTAGGGTTCCGAGTCTCTTCAAGTTGACCAAGAAAGAATATCAGATATTAGGGAGCGAGAGCCGGAGCTTTCGACGCCATCTTCAGGTGACTGGTATTCTGTCAATGCGTCCTTGCCACTTTACGCATTGAAGTTCACATGAGCGTACCTAATAAATTATTTCAATGGGGGAACATAAAAGTTGAATAAGAAAAGAATTCACCTATACTTGAAAGCCGCGGGCTCTAACTTGAGTCTGAGACGAAGAAAAATGCGCGGCTGCGGCTTTTCAAAGGGATACATAGTTGAGCTCAGAGCCTTGGAGCCCATTGCCCAACAGGGAAAGTATAAGCCCGAGAAATATGATATTAAGGATCGATAGGCTAGAGGCTTCCGCCGCCTTTGACCATTGGAGTAGCTCTTTGAACTTTCCTTCCCACTTGCAAATTCAGGACAACGAGTCTGAGGGACCCTAATGAGAATATGTCAATAGAACTTGAATATACATTAAAAACTTGCCATGGATATCTTGATCTCGGACGTCCTTGAAACATATCGCCAACAAAAGTCTAGGCGAGAAAATGTATTGGAGGATCGATAGAGACGATAATTTTAAAGACTTCAGCGGCATTGACTGGACCACGTCTTTCCCTTACGCAAGTTCAAGTTCAGGAAAACGAGCCTGAGGTGCCCTAATAAAAATATCTCAATGGAAGAACATATAATCAGATTACTCAAGAATTTACCTTAGACTGACAAAGCAACAAGTCAGAGACGGAGAGACGGAGAAAAACTGTGGCGAACTCGCACAAAGTCTAGATCCACAAAAATAAACAGATGTTCACACTTTATCTTATCTTGTCGCAATCGCATATGATTCGTTCGACGATGCCAGGTTTGAACGTCGGTTATCTCAGACCATCCCATATGGAGAGCAAGGCGATTTTCGAAGGCGCTGAGGGGGTCTGTTAGTTCTCGCAATGATTAAGCAAGTCCTTGAGATGTATCCGGGTAGATGAAGAGGATGTGTTAATCAGTAAGGGTGCCGAGGCCAGGTAAGCGTAGCATTGTCAACTTGCGCTCAAGAACGGAGATTATTCATTCCGGAAGCCGTACAAGGCAGCTTGGACACTCAGATAGAGGAAAGGCTATTGGAACCAGCCTGCTATGAGAACGAATGTTGAACGAAAAGTGGCTCAAATAGCGACATTTCGCTTGAACAATGAAAGCGCGGGAGAAGAAAGTGCCGAAATTGCGTTTTCAGGTTCCCACACGGTTTGAACTCCGTATACCGTTCCGACCACCTGCCTGCTGCTATATGGCTCTTTCCTCATCGAGGCATACCTATGCTCCATTCTGCATGCGATCTGGGGACCTTCTTACCATAAGTAATTGCTAATCCGTTATTAATCTTTTGATACGCTCATCAAACTCGTCACTCGGATGGGACACCGCACGCCGCATCATCTCCCGGCAAAAACGAAAGAGTAGTACGTACTAACCTGACCAGAATTGAGAAACGACACGCAGGCACTGTATTTTTTATTTGGTATTAACAGTGCCTTATTTACCATGGCCGTTATTATTCTGGAAGATTTCCTCTAGTTGGTAGTAAGTAAGGAAGTACAAGAAAATAATTAGAGCTTACTTCATCTCAATATAGGTTCTTTCTCCTAAATGAGACATCTTATCATCAAAATGCAATTGATCTACGCCAGAGCGCGTATCTCCTGCTCGGAGACCCGGATTACTCAGCAATAATACTACTGTACGCAGATTCACGATGCATTCGAACTGATGGCTTAGAAGTCACAATCACTCCACTTATAGAACCGGTGGTTCGCGGAGTTTCATGTGGAAGCTGCTTAACCGACTCGAAACCCTTCGTAAGTCTTCAAAGATACGTTACTGGTTGACTCATCGTCGCGCAGAGGATATCCTATATATTCATTACCAATAAGTAGTACATCTGCAAACCAGCTACAGCAAGCTTCATCATACTGCATCATCTATGACTTTGTCTTGGAGTCTCTCTCTTCTCATCTGCGTTATATCCTTAATATCCAATGTCAACGCATTAGGCTCGCAATCTCCCGTGATAGACCTTGGTTATGCCCGTTATGAGGGTACCGCACAAAGCAATGGCCTCAACCAGTTCCTAGGCATGCGTTTCGCCGCGCCCCCCTTGGGAGACTTGCGTTTTCGCAAACCGGCTCCTCCAACAAATGTAACAGACATCCAGTCTGCAAAGGAGTTCGGGCCTGTCTGTTTTGGACTGCCAAGCCCGACCGCCGCAGCCCTTGTTCAAAGTCAAAACGCGAGTGAAGACTGTTTGTTTGTCAACGTATGGGCTCCCTCCAATGCAACATCAAAGTCGAAGCTGCCTGTTCTCTTTTGGATCCTAGGGGGTGGATATACCTTGGATTATGACTCCAACGTTAGTATTCATATTCATGCCCCTGGATGTGTCTAAATTTCCATAGTATAATGGCTCAGATCTGGTGGAGTCCACGGGCAACAACATGATATTTGTAAGCATCAACTATCGTGTCGGTCCCTTCGGATTCCTGGCCAGCGAAAGGATTCGAAAGAATGGCGACTTGAATGTTGGACTGCTTGACCAACGATTCGCCCTGCAATGGGTACAGGACCACATCACATCGGTCAGTTAAATCTCAGACTCCATAGTTGATACTCATTCTAACTATATACATTAGTTTGGAGGTGATCCGAACCAAGTTGTCCTCGTCGGTGACAGCGCGGGGGCGGGGAGCATTGCTCTACATATGGTGGCATACGGAGGCAGGCCTACCAATCTATTCGCGGGTGGATTTGGAATATCCCCCTATCTGCCAACTCAGCCACGAGTCTCAGAGCTGGAATGGCAGTTCGATCTTGTCGCTTCTCGGGCAGGATGTGCAAAGGCCCAGGATCCCTTGACATGTTTGCGGACGAAAAGCTCCGCCGAACTACAAGCTATAAACGTTGGAATGCCATACCCAGGAAGGACGAATAATTCTAACTTTCCTTTCTCGCCAACGATTGACGGCGAATTTTTGACCGATTTTCCGTATCGTCTGTTTGAAGAGGGACGTTTCGTCAAAGTTCCTGCTATCTTTGGGTGCGCATATAGTTTGTCTCCGGTATTCTTACAATAAATTAATGATTTCTGGTTCTCTCTAGAGATGATACTAACGAAGGTACTATATTTGCACACAACGTTTCCACATCTGCAGATGTAGCTTCTTTCTTGAAGGATCAGTATCCTCAACTATCCGATAATAACACAGCAGCCATCAATGCTCTTTATCCGTTGCAGACTCCTAATCCATTCCCCAGCCATGCTCCTTATTTTGCCTCAGCAGCGGGAGCCATTGGAGAAGCAACATTTACATGCCCCGGGATTACCATTTCTACCATGATTGCACAACATACCAAGTCGTGGAACTATAGGTATGTACAGCATCATTTCAAAATAAGACTGAAGGCTAATAAATGTTTCAATTTGCCTAGGTTCAATGTCCCCACTTCTTTCCAAATTGCAGATGATATAGGTGTCTCGCATACGAGTGAAATACCATTCCTGTTCGGTCCAGGCAATGCTGGACCACAAGAACTTCCGATAGACCAAGATGATCTCTCCTATATTCCCATAATTCGAGCTTATTACACCAGTTTTGTGCGGTCATTGGACCCTAATGCACATCCTGTGAATGGAAGTGTATTTTGGCCTCAATTCAACTCCGAAAAGACAACACGACTTCTTCTACAAGTCAATGACACAAGGCTCGAGGACATCCCCCTGGATCAAAAGGCCCGTTGTGAATTTTGGAAAGGCCTTGCCATAAAATTGGAGCAATGATTTTAATGACATCCATAATTTTTGTGGCTTCGAACTCCATAGTGTAGTGATTTATAGACTATATAAAGTAATTACCCATTTCTTTAAAATTCCAAATTAGTTCCGTACCACGGAAGTGTATACATTAGTAG